CACTGAAGCCACTATTTATTAAGTGTTTTTTCCCCAGTGAAAAGTTCCTTGAGGCTCATGAGAAATGGGATACATTTTGCTGCTAATGAAGATATGCAGAGTCAGATTCAAATGGAGCACAGGAGCAAATTAACAAATTTTGTCTTCAAATAAATTATTCTGTAAGAATTCACAGTAAGCATCCAGAAAGGGATCAGTGCAGGTGTTTGGTTAGATACTGTTTGCTTTTAGTCTTGGCTGCTTCCTTTCGAGGATAAACAGCTCTTGGGAAACACACATTGTACAAATAATCAGTTACAGAGGACAAATTGTTTCTATTCACTTCCTTTGCAATTACTTTCCAACAGCTAACAGTAATAAGAAATATCAGTGGTTTCCATTGGAAACTAGCATATGAACTATTCATGAGCAGTGGAAAGGAAGGAGATTTTCCCAGTAAGTCCTGGGATAAGCATAGAAAAGCCAGGGGGTGTTGGGGCTGTAGCATAGAATTACCCTAGAACTAAGCCAAGTTCAGGGGGAAAAAATGATTCAAGTTTCTTGTAGAGTGAGATTCAGGGAAACCAATGAAGTATGAGTGGTTTCAATTGCCTCACATCCCATTTCAGCCTTTATGGATGCAGATTAGATTTATTTATTTATTTTTACAAAATAAACCTATTTAAACTAAAACAGGGAGAAAGGGAAAGTTATCTTACTTAGACTTTGTTTTACCAGCTCAGACTTCACTGTTCCACATCCTTAATTTTGTTTCTATAGAATTTAGGCCCCTGAAACATCTCTATGTTACCACGTGAAAAGCCTCGGCTTCTGACTGTGTTTGACTGTGAAAAACAATGACTAACACTTGCCTCCTCACTCTCCTGTTGATTGGCTAACTTGGGCTATTCAGACTATTCATAGGCTTCAGGAAAGGGACATTTAAGCTTTTGTATGTGTGGGAGAGAATTGTGTTCTTAGTATCAAATCTCCAGGGAAGAAGATAGGGGCAAAAACCACAGATTCTAGGCCACAGATCCAAGGCCAAAGGAGGGCACCTGTGTGCCCAGCGGTGCTGTTCTGGGGATAAGGAATAGTCATAGGCCCTAGACCATGTACTAAGAGAAGAACAAGCTCTGAAGCAAGCATCAGTAGTGTGGGTTGCACCCCAGGAGCAACAAGGAATCTCAATTCTGTCTTCTAGTCCAGCTTTCTGCAAAAGAATAACCAGGGCAGGAATCCCAGGCCAAAGAGAAGTGGACAGCTCTGTCCCTCTGCACCAGCAGGGCCTCCCAGCTGGCTGATGGTGACTGAGTCCAGAAGCAGTCTTCTGTTGTTCACTTGCAACACTGAAAGCTTGCAGGTACCCAGCTTGAGATGTCCCTGAGAATCTGGAATAGCATAACACTCACTACCCCAAGAAACAGCAATGGGATCACCCCGGATCTTCCCTTCAGAAATGCTGAGAGCCTGACCCTAACATTAAGTCTAAAGGCAGGAAACGGGTGACAGAATAAAGAAACAAAAAGGATTTCATATACCATCAATCATTTCTGCTCTGGTATTTGGTGGTACGTTTAACATATGTGACAATTTTTATGTGAGCTAATTGATGAAGAAATGAACCATATTTTTAAAGTGTTATCCAGATTGCTAGAATTCACTGGTTGATTTTTACTCCTGTGATTGATGTTTATTGGTGAATGCAAAGCCACATCATAAAGTCAGCGGCTCGCTGGGACTCAGACTTGCCAGCTTTTGTGATGAGATTGCAAAGAAGAAGCAAGAGATCCTGGATTAGTTAATGATAGTTTAATCCTGGGAACAGTTGTTTATAATATTCCCTGACCTCAGGAAATGAGAAACTATAATGAGAAAAAGGAATGGTGAAGAAGTCCCTTTTCCCTTCTCCCGCTTCCCTTTTTCCTCCTTGTATCTCTTTCATTTGGTGTCTGTCCCACCTCCTATTTGGCTGATGAGCCTGCTGCAGTGGTTCTTCAGCCATGACCATCTTCAGTCCTGCCTCCTTCTTCAAGCTTACACTTATATGTAAGTAACCAGGGTCATAGGCTTCACTTCTTATGCAATTCTAACACCTCCCAGTTAACTGAGGCTGAAAAGTCAGGGGCAAATTAATTAGTAAAGGTGTAAACTGGTCCAGGAATTTTGGAAATCAATTTGTAACAATGCCCAAAATATTATTAAATTGTGAATCCCTTTTAACCACAAAAATACCACTACCAGGCATATACTCCCAAAGAGATAAAACAAAGAGAAAAAAGAACTATATGTACAAAACTATTTAGAGCACCTCTTTTTGTGATGGCAAAGAACTGAAAACTAAGAAGATACCCATCATTTGGGGAAAGGCTGAATAAACTGAATAAATTAATGTAACAGAATATTATTGTGCTATAAGAAAGGACAAGGGGAAAGGTTTAAGAGAAACCTGAGAAGACTTGTATGAACTGACGCAGACCTAAGTTAGCAGAACCAGGACAGCAATTTATACATGAACAACAACATTGAAAAAACAAACAGCTTTGAAAGACGCAATAACTTATCAGCAAAGTGATCAATCATGATTCCAGAGTACCAATGGTGAAAAATGCCACCTACCTACCGACAGAGAGATGATTGACTACATATGGAAAATGAGACACACATTTTTAGATAATATGATCGATGTTGGAATTTGGGTTTTTTTTGACTGTGTGTATTTACTACAAGGATTTTTCTTTCCTGTATCTGAAGCGAGCTTTTCAATCACAAATGATATGCTTTTGGATGGGTTCACTTATTCCAGAGATTCAGGGTAAAAATGAAAAGTGGGTAGTACTGGTATATATCAGAGGTATCAGATACATGGCACGTGAGTCACATGCTATTCCTAATACTCTTGAGTATGGATTGAACCAGATTAAAATGTAATTAAAATGTAAAATGTTAACAAAATAAATAAAAATACAATAAGATATAGATAATGTTACATTTTAAAACTGTCAATCCATGGTTCACAAGGATCTTTAAATACAGATTAGTAGCTCCCAATCTATTTGAGTGTGATGCCAAGGTGGACCCCTCTCAGGGTCCATGTCAAAGTAGTATCATGGACCCTCTCAGGGTCATATGTATACATATGTGTACACAGAGAATTTAATATGCATACAAGATTGATCATGGGTGTTCCCTGATCAACTAGGTGAGCTTACAGTGTGGTCAACCTTTGTTTGGGTTTTTTGACTGCATCTTCCTGTGGAGGGCATGTGCATGCCCTTTGGTGCCTCATAAAAGATGAGTCTGTGATTGGGAAGGAACTGGTTAACCTGGACTATTGTTGAATAGAGTTTTTGGAAGACCTACCCTTTTATGCTGGCTTATAAAAGAGAGTCTTAAGTCACATCCCCAGTCTTTGTTTCCCTCTTCAGAAGATAGAATGGAGTATAGCACCTAAGAGTGGATTTGAGTTCAGGGCCAAGGTTGGGAAGGTTGCAGGGGAGAGTTGCAGAATTCTCCATCCCCCATCTTCTTCCTAGATGCTGTTAATTTCTGCCTTAGAGCAGAGTCATATGGGAATTGCATATGTTCTTTCTTGCTCACATGGCTCCAAGGGAGAATTCCAGGCCTCAGCCTTGGAGAGACAGAGGAGAGCAGCTAGGGAGAGGGAACCACATAGTTTGAATGATCAGTTTTTAAGCCTAGCTTTCTGAAGTAATGTCAAGAGTTCCTGAGCCCTAGTTTTCTGGATAAAAATAGGGAGAGTTCCTAGAAAGCACAGTTCTGGGATGCAGCCTTCTAGTAGAAGAAGGTACATTTCTTGGGCAGCACAAGCCTTTGGGATATTTTACTAGAAACTCCATCACTGAGAGTTCTGAGACTTAACCTTCCAGAGAGAAAGGGGATTCCTAGGTAGCATTGGCCTCTGGGAAAGAAGAGAGGACACATAGCATTCCTTAAGCTAGAGGATACACAGGAGAGTCTAAACAGTAGTATTGGAGACTAAAGGACTGAACTTTCCCAAATGGTATTATCTTTGTTATCCTGAGTTGTTCACACAGTGTAGATTTGATAGGATGAGTTTTGGTTTTGTTTGTTTGTTTGTTTGTTTTTGTCTAGCAGCCCCAAGTACATTTTCCTTCCAGGGGAGTAAAGTCCTCAGGGTATTTCCAAAAGGCTAGGTGCCTGCATGGGTGAACATGAGGCTCACCAGAACTTTGATGGGATTGCCCCAAGTTTAATTCCCTTCCAAGGGGAGTCTAAAATAGTGGTCCATTGTTCCTAGAAGGCTCTAGGAACCTGATGAAAGATGGGACTCACTGGAGAGAGAGAAAAATTGTGTAAATTGTTTATTGGCTACTTTGTGTCTTTTATGGATTTCCTGTTTTTCTACAGTGTAGATAAAGGCCTATCCCATACAGATTGTTCCTTTTAGGGCATGTATAGGATCCTACATTTATGGAGAGAAAACATGAGCTATGTTCAAGCTGTATTATGAAATTTTTCAGAGACAACTCTGTGTGGGGATGAAATGAGACAAAGAGAGATATGACTTTGGGGTGCCCCCCAATTACACCTATTCATGTAGGCCCAGAAATTTGGGGCCTTAAATTATAACTGTAAGCATACATAATACCTCAAAATTTACTTTCCCTGGATCTTTAAGTTATAGTTGTTGTTTTTTTCCTATTTCAGACTTTTTTTCCTCTTCCTGCTTCTATTAGTAATTTTCTATGATGTCTACTCTAATAACATATTTTCTAATGTTATATATTTCCCAGAGGTCTTTAGAAAACAAAAACACTCTAAACAGATATTTTCAAATTAATAATACCAAGGAGAGTTTTGTGAGATATATTTGAGACAATTTCTATAATCTATCCTTTGCTGCTGTTTTATTCAGTGACTATAGTCAAGCTCTGCTTCTTTTTTCCTGTTTTAATAGAAGTTTAGATCCATTAACACAAAAAAGGCAAAACCTCCTTCAGAATAATACCATATTTGCTTTCATTTTCTCCTCTTACCTTTTCTTCTTTTCCTCACCATTTTGAGGAAACAATCAAGAAAAATGTTTCTCCCAACTTTTTGAAAGTCCCAACAATCTTCCTTTGAAAAGTTGATCACAACTTGTTTTCAGTCTTCCCTTCCCCCTCTCCAAGTCTTCTCTTCTCTTCTCTTCTCTAGACTAAACATGTCCAGTTCCTTCAACTGATCCCCACAGGATATGAACTCAGGTCTTTTAACCATCCTGGTTGCCCTCTTGCATTCTTTCCAGTTTAATATCTTTGCTAAAATTTGATTCTCAGAAGTGAAAACATTGTTCCATGTGTGGCTCAAGGGCAGAGTACAATAGACCTTTTTTTTTGGGGGGGCCAGTGGGTAGGAAGTGGTGGGAGGAGGTCTGAACCTGTTATTTCATGGTCATAGGTAATTCCTGGCATGGAAATACTTTCTGTCTATGCAGATTATGGCAATTGCTTTGAAACATTATCTTAGTTGCTCGGGGACACTAAAAACTTAAATGATTTGTCCATAGCTATATAATCAGTATGTCTCAGAGGCAGAAACTGAACTCAGATAGGTATCATCACTGCCTTATTCTGGGACAGTAAAAATTATTCTTTATTTTTAATGTGTTTTTAATTAAAATTTTTAAAAGTAGCTTAGGATTTCATTGTTTTTTTTGGGCTGCTATATCACACTATTAGCTGATATTAACCCCCACATATTTTTCAAACAAATTGCTACCTAGCTATGCCTCCCCCTTCTTATACTTGGGAATCATTTTGTTTAATTAAAGTGTAGAAATATACATTGATCCCAATCCAGCTTCATTTTATTTGTTTTGTACTAATGTTATAGCCTATCAAGATCATATTTAATAAGCATGCCATTTATGCCTTAAACCAAGTCATATAATAAACTGCTGAAACAGGTGTCAATCACAGGTCATTGGAGGATTCCACTGGAGAGTTCTTTGAAGTCTACCTTGAACTTTAGTGATTGCTCTTTGGGTTCAGCTGTTTAACCAGTTTCTAAAGTATGTAATTATCGTATTATCTAGCCCACTTCTTGTCATCTGTTCTGTAAAGACAGAATGAGAGATTTCATCAAATGATTTGCTAAAATGTAAATAAACTGCAGTTATAGAATTCCCCAGAACTGCCAGATTAATAACCATGACAATAAAGGAAATAAGGTCAGTCTGGCATGACTTATTCTAGATGAAGTGATGTTAGCTCTTGGTGATCCCTGTTTCCTTTTCTAACCATCTACTAACGATTCCTTTAATAATATTGTAATGTGGATCTAGCACATTTCCAGGCCACCTAAGACAGTGTCATCTACAAGGAAGATGCTAGGTAGCTGCTTCTAGGAGACTGGAGGAGTGGAATTTGCATGGGCATTCTGCACTGACCTACTGTGTGGTTGGGAAGAGCCTTTCTCCATTGGCTAAGCAGCTGGAACTGTTAGCATCTTCGAAGGGCAAGTTCACAATAGCCACGAGGGGGTCATTTCCTCCCACCAACACAAATGTAACAAAAGCTATACCTAGTGCTGACTCAGTTTCTCTGTAGACTTGGATAGTTCCAGCTACATAACCAATGGAAAAAGACTTCTCCAATTATGTGATAGGCCAATTCAGAATGTCCATGCATACCCTGGTCCTCCAGCTTTCAGAAGCAGCTCTCTAGTGTCAGGTTTGGGCCTGTGCTAGTCTCTCACTACAGTATAGTCTAGAATAGTGATTGCTCTTTGGGTTCAGCTGTTTAACCAGTTTCTAAAGTATGTAATTATCGTATTATCTAGCCCACTTCTTGTCATCTGTTCAGGGTAATCAAAGTCAGGGTAACTGACATATAGTTTTCCTCTCTCCAGTCTCTTCCTTTTGTTGAAAATTGCCTTTTTAAAAAAATCATTGGTACCTTTCCCAGTCTCCACAGTCTTCCAAAAATTACTAACAATAGCTTACCAGTCCCATTTTTCCAGTATTCATGGATGTGGTTCATCTCTGCCTGGTGATTTGAACTTATCAAAGGAAGTGCTCTCCTGCTATTATTAATATTAATCTTGGATAGCAACTTTCTATAATCCATAATTTCTCTGTCCTTTCCATTAACAGAGAAAACTGAAATCAAAATAAGATATAAACTGCTCTGCCTTCTCTGTCATCAGTTATTGACATTGCTTCCCCACTATCCAGAAATCTCACTCCTCCTTTTCCCAAGCATCATCACTTTCAGTGTCCCCCGAGTGGGAAGTGGGATGATAATATCAAAGATGCCAAGAATCTGTTGGGAACAGTGAATCCTGATTGTCTCTATAAACCTAAATCACATCTCCTTTTCTTCTCTTGTTAAATGTAGGTTAGGATTCAAGGCAGGCAAAGCAAAAAGCACCAACTAAGTTAATGTGTGCCAGGCACTGTGACTAGTGCTAGGCATACAAATGCAAGCAAAAACAAAACAAAAGAGAAACAGTTCCTACCTTCTAGACACTTACATTCTAATGGGGAAAGACAAAACATAAAATGGAGCTGAAAAGCAAGGGGTGTAGGGAAGGGGGGGGAGAGGGTTCCTGGTTGTGGGGAGGGCATGTTGGCAAAGTCTAGAGAGTCCGAAACCCAACCAGGAGGGAAATGAGGCATGCTTACTCTGGACAGCTCCCCAAAATGGAAGCCCTGGGGAGAACTCACCCCAGGGAGAAGGGGGCCAGAATGTTAGTGGAATGTTCCAGAGTGATGAAACCCCAGGTATTGAGGGAAGTTCTAGAATGAGAAGGCAATTGAATCATGATGCAAAATCCAGAAAATCAGAATTATAATAAACAATAGAACTAATAATAAGAATTATAATAAGTAATTATATAATAAATATATAACAAAAATAAATATTTAATAAAATAAAATAATAATAATGACATGTGTTAAGGCTTATTATCAGAGAGGGGAAGAGGAGACGTATAAACAAATAGGATATACACACTGTTGGAGAGTTTTCTTGTGTTTAACAAGTTCCTGAATTTGTTGTTTCAAGTCTTCTTTGCTCCTTATGCTTATCACGTAAGGTGGCTTTACTTTTAATAAGATGAACTCACAAAGCTGCCAAATTCAGTGTGTTGTTATTTAAATATAGATGATGGAAGCCACAGTGTTTAGCAACTTGTAAGTTTCTATGAGTACAGTAAGATTTACTGCTTTATTCTTTAGACAGACTGCATGGTATTTGCTTTTATAAATGCCATTAAGTAGCATAAATCAAACATTTTATTGAAAGAAATAGAGTCATCAAAATGAAGAGGTCATCTCTACCAAAACTAAAACACATTTCAAGAGCTTTTAATATTTACAAAATGCTTCATGGTCATTTGAGCACTGTAATACCCTCTCTTTTATGTAGCACCAAATGACCATTGTAAAATGGTGAAAATTAATGTAAAATGAAAATAAGTTTTTCAAAGCCTAGAATAGCAAAGCTAAATTTAGGGAAAGGTCTGAACTGGATCTACCAATTTAGTAAGTTCTTTAGTTCTGCTTCAGTCAGGCAACATGCACTCGAGACTAGTAATTACTGCCAGGACAGCATCTTGAGCTATTGCTACCTCATCCCTCCCTAAGCTGTTCAACCTCCCTAGCCCAGAGAATCGGAGAGTAATGCAGATGTGGAATATTAAGCACCTCCCAAAAAAGCCATTAATTCCTTTTTATAGCCGTTGTCCTTCTCTAGTCCTCTCCTCTGTTCACCATAGATAATTTCCCCAGTTTGCTATTGCCATCATAAACACTGTGTCATCAAAGCTCATCATTTTATAGATTTAGGAAACTGAAACCTAGAGAATGGAAATAACTCATGCAAAGTCACACAACAAATTAGTAGCAGAGCCAAGACTAATGTCCCTATCCTTTTATTCATCTGTGTTTTCCATTGACCTCTTAATTCTCATTCTCTAACTCCCAGCTCCCCTAAAGAACATTCGGCCTTCAGCTACTGATATCTCAACCTCTTCTCTCCATATTCTTCTCTCCTATAAGGTACTATAGATTTCTGTAGAATTTCCCTCTATTACAACTTCGATTATTCTGTTTCTTATTCTGGATATGCCAGAAGATTGTTTATCATTTTTCCAGATTTTTAAAGATTCATAAATTATTAGAGCTGGAATGGACATTAGAGGTCATTGAATACAGCCTCCTCATTTTACAGATTGCAGAAATTGAGGACTGGAGTGGTAGAGTAACTTGTTCAAGATCTCCTCTCTTCTTCTGTATCCTTACTCTACTACCATTTTGTTCAGTTCAAGTAAATTGAACACTTATCAAGTGCTTACTATGTGCAACTGGATGGATACTTCGTAGAGATGCAGCCCTACTAGATGAGTATATATCTGTAGAACATATCTACCAAATGTGACAAGTCCCAAAATTATTTTAACCCTACTATGATACCAAAAGAATCAAAATATTATTACTACATGACTCAATTACATAAGTTGGATGGAAATATTATTAAAATTATGTGTTCTTATGAGTTCTTTACAAGGTGGTAAGATGTCCTACAGGGAATATTATACTGGAAGTTGAGTCCCACAGTTGAGTCCTGGCTTTGTTGCTAATTAGCTCTGTGACTTTAGGCTTCAATTCTCTGGGCCTCACTAAGTTCCCTCATGTGTAAAATGATAGACTATAAAATAGGATGTCAAAGTTAGAAAAGATTCAATTTAATAAGCATTGATTAAGTAGCTGGCCTTGGAGGAGAGTGGAAGGGGGCTGTGAAAAATTACTCCTGCCCTCCAGGAGCTTATAAGGATGGCACAGTGGACAGAGTGATAGACATAGAGCAATGAAGACCTGAGTTTGAATCCTACCTCAGGCAGTTATTAGTTTTGTGAGCTTAGGAAAGTCACTTAACCTCTATGTGCCTCCATTTTCTCATCTGTAAAATGAGGATAAGAATAGAATCAATTTTCCATGGTTATTGTGAAGATCAAATGAGATTATATTTATAATTTGCTTTACAAACCTTTAATTACTATATAAATGCTAGTTATCATCATCATCAGTGTTGTTATTATTGTAGTCTACTGAAGGATCATCTAGTCTAGTTTTGTTTTTATAAGTTATATGATGTCTTATTCTCTCTAGTAAAAAAAAAAGTCATTTCTACTTTTTGTTTTTTATATCACAATCATTCCCAGACATACCATCCCACTCTAAGTCAGTCTTCCCTTATGACAAAGAAACAAGAAAGTAAATAAAAACAGTTGACAGATTGAGAGCATCTAACAGCTTGTGCAGTATTCCCTATATCTAGTCCTACATTTCTCCTTTGAAAGGAGGG